CAGACGCTTTCGCTGACACCACGACATCGTCGGAAGACGCCATGACCCCCTTCGACGAATACCGAGACGAATGGCGCTTACGGAGCAACGTTTGTAGACGAGCCGGGGATGATGAGAAGGCCTGCTGCTGCGGCGGCGGAGAGGTCGGCCGCCGGGGCGGCGAAAGGCGGCGGCGGCGGCGGCGGCGGCGGCATTGGGCGGGGGGACGTTATCCCCCGGGCGGTGATGCTGCTGGTCGGGAATGGGTTCCTGCTTATGTACGCCTTCTCGATCGAGACCATCTACGCCATGTTCCTCAAGGTGAGATACATGACGCCTCGGTAGGGAGCGAGGTACAGCAGTTGGGGGGTGGGGGGAGGGGGGCGTACCCTGGTGATGTTTTGCATGCCTTAGCGGTTAGACCATTCCACACGTCCTGAAGAGGACGGAACATTGTTCCGACCCCATCAACGATGGCCAACCGGTTCAGCGTGGGGGGGGTCTATAGCGCGGGTATGTGCCAAGCGGTTCCTACTTTGATGACTCCATCTGTGCCGGCCAATTTCACCCGCACGATACCGGGCACCCGCACTAAAAAGTCACCCTTACGGAAGCAAGCCCCCCGAATGTAAAAACGCAAAAAAAAAAATGGAAGCCGCCCGAATGTAGAGTATTCGTATGTAGGTTGCGTGAGTGAGGGGTGTGGCTCTTCAAGACGTCGTTCGTAGGTGTGTGAGAGGCTATCAATACGGGCGGCTTCCGGTTTCGCCTCTGGTACAGTAGGTGCTGCGATCGGCGCGACCTGCCCACCTACCTGCCACCTCTCTCATGACGCCGCCGCCACCGTTTGTGATATGTAACAAACATTCCCTCGCCCCGATAACACACACGCACGACCCTGACCTCGGGGGGGAAACCTCGCTCGTTCTGACCGCACTTTTTTTTTGTTGTTGTTTTCAGGACAATTTTGGTTACGGCGAGTCAGTCCTGTCGATGGTTTTCGCCCTCAACGGGGTGGCCGTGGGCGTGCTGCAGCTCTTGGGGATGCGGCACTTGGTGCGGCTTCTGGGGAAGCACATGATGCTCATCGCCGGGAACATGTGCCTCGCGGCCGGGATGGTGGGGGTCGCCTTCTGCCGCCACCCTGTCGTACACTTTGCGGTGAGAGAAAATTCGAGGGAAAGGCCGACTTGTTTCTTGCATCCGTACGAGTCATCCACGCCACTCCCTTTCCGTTCCCTTTCCATACCTTTCCATCCCCTTCCCTTGGCCTCTCTCTTGGCCCCCCTACTGAAGTGTGCCCGGGCGCTTGCACACTCAGACTCTTCCCTTCCCCTGCCCCTGCCTTGTTTTCGCGGCCCGCGTGCACAGCTGTTCACTGTGCACATCATGGGCTACTCTCTGGCGGACACGGCCCTCGTGGCCCTCATCAGCAGGTACGCCTCGCCCGCCACGCAGGGACGGAGCCTGGGTCTCAACCAAGCGGCCCAGTCCATGGCGAGGGTCGTCAGCCCCGTGGTGAGTGGCCGCTTCGACCTTTAGTGGATGGGCGGATCACCGCAAGGTCGGGGAGAGGGGGGGGGGGGGGGCGCCGCCGTTTCGCGGGATGCACTTGAGGGCGGACACTTGAGTCTCTGAGACAGCACCGGCACAGCAGTTTTGTATACAATATTCGAACCTGGGAGTTTCAGGTGTGTCAGTAAGGGGGTGGTCGTGACACGTGCTGCATAAAAAGAAAATGGTGTAGAACGAGTATTTGAGGCGATTCCTAACAACGGCGGAATAGAGAGAGG